ATATGTATTTTGAGATAAAATTAACTCTGTATAACTTTTAATAAGTATTTAATTAATAGTCAGGTAGGTACTTAGTGTTTTACACAGTTTATTTACTTACAATAAATGTGTATAATACCTACGTATTATCACAAAATATTAGTTATTAATTATAATCCAATCGAAACTCAGTAGTTTAATGAGTGTGTTTTACACAACATTGGGATGTTGCAGTAAAAAAAAAAAAAAAAACCATCAATAATTACTTGAATACCTAAGTACCTGACGACCTAACTATATAGTAATACTTTTTTTGATTTTGACGCTTTAGATTAGATTATAATAATGCTTTTTATACAGGTTTAATAAATTAATTTTAATGAGTCAGAAWGTTGTTACCAATATTAAAACCAACAATTAACCAAGTTAGAAAATTACTTTAAAASTAACTTTCTAGCTCAACTCTGACTTTTTAACCATAATTTTATTATACAGTGCCTCCAGCAATAATATAATTTATGCAATAACGAATAATATGATTATCGAATTTCGTTTGAATATATCGCTATAATATTATTTGACTTATTAATTTGTCAACAAATACACACAGTTCGGATATTTTTACCCYGTTTCGTATGTATATTTACGTACGCACACACACGCTCACACGCTGTTCACTGATATTATTTTAGAACGTATTCGAAAATAACCGTATGGAAACTCACGCCAGTGTGAAAGGCGATATTGTGTGGTGGCGGCCAGCGCGCCCGCCCGCGTGTGTGTGTGTGTGCGCGCACATTTGTTTTAAGAATTTTTTTTTTTTTTTACTGCCCGAGTTGTATTCACAACGAGACGACGATGATACAATATTATAGTATATAATAAAAATATGCAAAGCTTGGTAAACGACGATCTATTGCTCGGTTTTTTTGTTCTCCGTTTGATCTCCCGAAAGAAGTGAAAAGAAAAACGTCGACAAAGAATTATTAAGTCTCCGCAACAGAAGTCCAAGCACAGCCGCATAATACAATAATATTATTGCATATAATCAAACGTCTGACATCGGTCGACTATATTATACTATACAGCGTACGGAATAGAACACAATAGAATCCGAGTGTGTCAGTACCGACATTATTATTATTATTCAATAATTTGTATTTATATAAATACATTAGTTTTTATTTACCCATCTGCAGGATTTGAGAAAAAATTACACACTAGGCGACAGCTTAATATATTATAGTGATTAGTGACAGTGTTGTTTGCGTGGAGGGGTGTAAGG